ACACATCAAAATCTGTTATCCAGAACTAACCAATAGGTTTTATGAAATATTCTGTTAACTACATAAAATTTTATTTCTTTTTGGGTGCATTCTTGCAAGATCTTTTGTTATGCTCTTCTCCTCCGCAGTTTCCGCATGAAACCTTGTACTTCTTTGAATTTATTTCATCATATGTTTTGTATCTTTCTTTTTGAAGTCTTCCTGGCTGTCTTTTCCCTCCTTTTGGTGGATTTACTACTTCTTCAATTATATGTTGTAGCACATTTCATTTGCTTTCATCAGACAGGGGATTTACTGGTATTTCATAAGTACGCAAGAGGTTCGCCCTTGTGTAATAAGGAGAATAATATTGTTCAAAAGACTCATCCCTGTGTCTTAAAGCAGCTAAAGCATGTGGACAAAGTAGTTCATCAAGCTGGAATTGCCCACAACTACATCTCTTGTTTTCAAGACAAACATTATAACGCCTCACACCATCTATTACTATATGGATGTAGTCTGTTAAATCCCTCACCTACGAGTACATTACAAACAAAAAAACAATTCATATACGGTTAAAATCAAACTATATACAAAATATCTACATTGTCCTGTTTAAATTAATTTGATTCAATAAATAATCAGATCTTATACTAAGCTTGTGCGACAATGTTCTGTTGTCATCCAACTCTTTGTTGAATTTGTACCCAAGGTATGTGAATGTACCCTTTGCTTTCAATAACTTTTCTTTCATCCAACGCTCAAGAAGGGTCCTCATATACTGTAATAGTTCTACTATCGGCAGCTCTCTTGCATATTTTGTTACAGCATTCAACGACTCTGCAATGTTTGATGTCATAGTCCAAGTTCTATTCACCGTAGCGTGTACTCGAGACCATTTATGATAGCCAATATCGAATAAGTATGCTTTAACACGGGAGTCAATCTCCTCAATCTTTGACATCCTTTTATTAAATTCATCAAGGGTGTATGACCATGCCGCGACAAAGTATAATTCACTTAACTTAAGATGTCCCTTTTTGAACTTTGCCCATATATTTGTCCAAATATGCCACATGCAAGAATAATGTGGCATGCCGGGATAAACAATAGATGTTGCTTTCAAGATACTCTCATTCCGATCCGAAACAACACGCATATTTGGTCTTTCACCATACGCGAGTTTGAATTGCTCAAAAAACTACTTCCATGATGTGTCATTCTCTGAATCAACAACAGCATATGCCAATGGTAATATGGTGCCTACATTATGTGGCAAGAAACAATTAATTGGCTACAGGAAAAATGCAGAAAAAGACAAATATATATACAAACTACAACTTTTCTACAATATACCTACAATTAATTTGCAAGTACTACAAAAAACATACAAACTACAATATTTCTACAATAAAACTTCAGTACCTGTTGCATCCACTGTACTGGCTATTAGCATTATTCCCATGTATGCTGACTTTAAAAAGGTCCCATCAACTACTACAACTGGCCTACAATATTTCCAACCACTGATTGACGTACAAATCGCAACAAATACATACACGAAGCAGTCATCGTCGGCCTTCTTCAATTTAACTACAGACCCTGGATAAGTCTTCTCTAGAATATACAAATAACTAGGCAATTTGCTGTAGGAGTCAGCATGATGACCTCTCAAAAATTGTAAAGCCTTTTCCTTTGCTCTCCAGGCTTGCATGTAGGTTAGATTCATGCCGTGTTCAGACAACATGTCAAATTGTATGTCTTTTGGTGTGTAAATTGTCTTAGGATCAAAATATTATGGAATAACCATGCTACCAACTACCATGGCAGTAGGTTTGCGTTGTATGAATGTATTGTCCATTAAAGAGCATGTGTGTTGGCTGTCAAAATTTCTAACCTTAAACATTGCAGAATCATTTATGCTAGTTGCCTTGAAGTGCCATGTATAGTTTTCACCAACACCTATCAACCAGTAGCTACAAAATAAATACATTTTAAATAATGGTTTAAAATTTAGATTTAAAAAGAACAAAAATTGTTTTAGCTTAAATGATCACATTATACAATCTATATACAACATAACTACAATTCAACTACAATTCTGTTACACATTATCACAAGGAAAACCCGAAGAAGTAAAAAATTACAAATAAACTACAAAATTAAAAAAAAAATCTTTGACTATTCATATGTTCATACCTTCTAGCACTAGATCTTTTAACCCTGAATTGGAACTTGTGCAGGACAAAATAGTGCTTCATTGCAGTTGCAAATGTTTCCTTGTCTTAGTATACTTGTCCTACTTCAATAGAACTTGGTGTACTATCTGTTATTATTATACTTTCATATTCCTCTATAACAGGAGATGTTGGCATATCAAGTAACTTTAGTATTCCAGACGAACCTGTTTAACCAAAAATTTGAGTCTTTGATCAAAACTAGAAATAAAGAGAAATTCAGGTTACTGATAATCTGGAGACAAAAATAATAGAAGATTTATGAGAATAATAAAGTAATAAGTAGTTTTGTATTTCAGTGTAATCTCAATAATAATTCGTGTCCTTACAGATGTTGAGTCCTTCTCCTTTTATAGTTGATTCTAGGAGAAGATGTGATGTCTTTGTCTTAATGAGGCAATTATGAGCAATAAATGACATTTAAAAGAAATGTTACACAATCATTTCTATTTAATTCAGATTCTCTAACGTATTTGATATTTAATGCTGTATTTAGACTCTTTTACGTCATCAGGTTCGTATCTTTAACTTCTTCCGATCTTTGATCTTTAAATGACTCGAATAGGTACGAGACTCGTACCTATTTTAGTAACGGTCCACACCTATGTTGCTTTCTTTTCCCCATATCTATTGTCGCCCGTGTCTCTTGGCTATTTATTGCGTTTTGACCTTTTGACCAGTCCACGTGCCATGACACGTCATCTTCAATATTCAGACTCAGTTTTTTCCCAATACAGATAGTCCCCCCACTTTCCATCTATTTATCAATTAAATATTTGGGAAGTGGATCTTCACGAAAAAGGAATTTTTGCCGTAATTAATGCTATGTCAGTACTGACGCTTCAATTGTCTTTTCTATTTAATGCTCTGCACACGTGTCACCTTCTGATATGTATGTAATTCTACAGCCTTTTTCCAAAGCTTCTTCATCCCCTCTATTTACGAAGTGAACGTTGCCTTTATTATAGGCTTTCCATCATTACGCTTTTTTGTTTGACGGTCGCTGTTATACACATATTTAACCCGTTTTCCCTTTGTCTTCTTCTTCATAAACCCTTAATAGATATTTTACTCTTTACTTTTGTTCCTTTCTCCTTTAGTTCATCCTTTCTCTGCAATGGCATCTCCGAATCCTAACCCTAAGAGAATCCCAATTCATGATAGCTTCCCCAACGCCCCTGTAAGACATAGAATGGGTAGAGGTGGCAGACTTCATAGCCTAGGATCCGTTCGTGGTGGTTCCTCTGGTTCTATCACTCCTTCTTCTAGTTTTAGCACTATTTCTAGAGGTTCTATTACTAAGAAATCCTCTTCTAAAGGTAAAGAACTTTCTGAGCCTCTTCAAGAGCCTTTAGTTGAGGAAATAGTACCCAATGACTTGTCCTTTGAGAATGATAGGAAATCTCTTCGTGATCAAGTTGTTAATTTAGAGAAAGCTGACACTTTTCCTTCTCTAATCACTGAACCTTTGATTTCTATTGTTCGAAAAGATTGCAACTGGAGAAGTGATCTTCGTATAGTGATCCCTAATCCAAACCAAAGAATATCTTCCTTTAGGATTGGATTTTCTTTTGTTTATACTTATCCCTTCACTTTGGGATTTAATCCTGCTATTGACCCGGTTATACTTGATTTCTGTCGCTTTTTCAAAATTTGTTTGGGACAAATTGGCCCCCTTGTATGGAGAGCAGTGGCTTGTTTGAGGTATTTGTCTGTAAAAGCCAATGTTAGCTTTACCTTTCCCCACCTTATTCATCTTTACCACCCCAAATTATTCCGCCATGGGGTTTTTACTTTAACTGCAAGAAGTAAAAGGGTCTTGGTAAGCCCTGAAGATGACAAGGATCGTGGGTGGTACACTCATTATGCCGCTGTTCGCACAGTTGATTTGGTGGGTAAAACAAATATCCTCTTCCCTGAGAAGTGGAACTTTGCACGTAAGTTCTTTTTTACTTACCGTACCTATCTTTAAGAATTTCAATTTCTCTTCTAATTTCGTCTCTTTTTGCTTTTCTATAGCAACTATGGGAGATGTGGAACCCGTTCCTAATTTTCGTGGTTGGGTAGATTCAATCATGAAAGTCGTGCCTATGGAGGCAAGAACTTGGAAATTCATTTCCAATTTACATGGTTGGAAAGTAAAACTCAAGGTATGCATCCCTTTATGCTTTTTTTATGTTAAGTCCCTTCTTGTTTCTAACCTTTTTTTTCATACTTCTTTTTGTCAGGATTTGCTATTCGAGGAATGACAGCTGAAGTAGCTATTGCCCTTCGAGCCTCTTCTGGTACTTCACTCTCTTTGGAGAGAACTCAAGCTACGCTATAAAAGAGGAAAGTTGTACAAGAGGATTCTGAGAATGATGAAGATGAAGACACCTCTTTAATAGCTAGACCAAGAGTTAGGAGACGCATCGTTTCCGAGGATGAAGCTGAAGTTACCCCTGTCCGTGCCTCTCTTACCGAACCTGTTCGCATTCCTTCTGATGATGAAACCACTCCGAGGGACACCAATGAGTCTATTCAATGCCTCTTTGTTAGTGGTTTTGAAAGTGGAGAACTAGGTCCAGTTTTAGATGAAGTTCCTTTTTCTTCCTCTGTTCCTCCGTTGGTTTCAAGTGCTTCCTTGTCCATTCTATCTGTTCCTGCTCCCTTATCTATTTCTGCTCCCTTGCTTGTCTCTTCTTCCTTACCTGCTTCGAGTCCTTCGACTCCTATTATTTTCACTTCTTCTACCGCTCCTCCTTCTATAGCTCCCCCTCCCTCTGTTCAACATGCAAAGGAGGGTTCCAGTAGCAGAAGCTTGGCTATGAGGAGCGTTACACTTGAAGTTCCTGCTAATAACAGTCTTTTAAGGAAGTCTGGTGGAGCAGATGCCTGGCTTAGGCCTTTAATTGGAGATATTGATAAGAAGAAGATGAGCAGTCACAGTTGCTTAACTCTGGTGAATGACATAGTTCATTCTACTTTGAAGGTATTTTCTTTCTACTTACTAACAAGCTTATTTTTATTTCTAAATTCTCACTTCTATGAGTTGTCTCTGTAGGCTAACCTCATTGGTACAGAATTGATGGGAAGAATTTCCCTTCTGGAAAAGAAAACTCGTGAGTCTGAAAAGTCTATCCACGAGGCTGAGGAAATAGCCAAGAGAGCCCAGCTAGAAGCAGATAATTGGAAAGAGCAGTTTGAGAATGCTCAGGGAACCATAGAAGAATTGCAAGAGAGTAGAAATCACCTGGAGCAGCAAAAGCGAAGTCTGACTTCTGAGCTAGCAGTTGCCAAAGCTTCTTCAAGTCAATTTGAAAAAGACAAGGAGCGCCTTGAATGTTGCTTTTCAGAACAATTATCAAAGTCAAGTGAAGAAATCAGAGAACTTAAGGCACTCTTGGATAAGAAAGAAGAATATGCAGGAGAATTAGTGCAGAACTTGACTCAAGTTCAAGCTGATTTAAAGATCTCCTCTGACAAAGTACATGCCTTAGAAAGTTCCCATGCCTCCCTTGAAGCTTCCCTTGATTCTCATTTAGCTGAACATCAAGTGTTAAAGAATGATCTTGCTATGTGGGAAAGGGAGTATGGACTTCTTGAGGAGAAGTTTGATTTAGAGGTGAGTTGGGCTTTCTTAAACTCTCGTCGTGATGCTTTAATGGAGGCCAGTCAAGAAAACTTTGACTTAGACTCAGAGTTGGCCAAAGTTTTAGAGACCATTGAAAGAACCCAACAATCATTTGACTTTCCATCTCCGGCAATTGAAGCTCCTGTGGCTAAGGAACCTGTAAATGACGAAGCCGTTGTTGTGGCAGTTGAAGTTGAAGATGTTGCAATTCCAGCTTCCGAGGGTGAAATTTCTACGACTCAGTCTATGGAAGCTGAAACTTCTGTGACTCTTGCTCCCCTCGTTGAACCTAACACTTCAAGCCCAGTTGAAACCACTCCTGTTGCTGCTTCTTCAGAAGTTGTCACCGTGCCTGTGGCTGTTTCTGAAAATGAAATTAATATTGCAACTTCTGACGTGCCAACCCCTTCAGTGACTAGTTAAATTTCCATATTTTGTTTTTACTTTCTTTGTTGGATGATGATTTTATCCCTTAATTATTTTTTAAGGGATTTTTTGGTGAAAGTCCCCAGTTATCATAATGGGGTATTTGTATAAACTTTTTTGTTGACTAAGTTCTTACTTAGTCTTTTTAATTATATCAAGAAGTTTGTTAGTACTTCAATGTGCTCTATTCTTGCTTTTTTCCTTATCTACTTAGGACTTATAGAATAGTTTAGCATTTTTATCCTTTGAAAATGCTTTATGATTCTCCTCATGACTTATTAACATGAGGTTTATAAAAGAGGGCCCTTTTATATATCGACACTTAATGAAGAAGACGTCTCAACTTTATAATGGTGTTATAATACGATGAAGGAAATAGGAACACACATGTTTTGTATGAAACTACTTTGACAAGTTTCTANGTTTTTCCTTATAACCTGCTTCAATACATAGTCATGACCCTATCTTAATGTATTAGGAAGGGTTTGAGAGGTGATTCCGTTGTTCTCATGGGAAAGAACACTACGATGAATGTTTTGCATCTTCCTTTGTTTTGATAGGAAAGAACACAATGATGAATGCTGAGGTTCCGTAACTTCTGCTCGATACTTGTTTCAATTTACGTCTCCGTCTTACCGTACGTATTTGTGTACATTATGCAGTCCCCCAAGTGTTTGAGTGCTGAAGTATGAAGCCTCGAGCACTTGTTTGTTTCTCACAATTTGGTCCTTTTTCCTGAAAACAGAAAAACATACGGGAATCGGAGGTGCGATTAAAGATGAAGACTGCCTAACCTGTGTGTATTTCCATCAGATTAATTTGTAACCCTGGG